TGTCCTGGCTATACTCCCTCCCAGCTTCTTGTGCACCTCTTCGCTGGCAGAGTATGGGAAGCTGAAAAGTCCTTGACTTACTATAAACACTGCTTAGCAACAACTAAAACATCAGTGTGTTATCACATTATTCTCATGCTAAATCCAAAACACAGCACTGCACCAGCTACTAGGATGAAAAGTAACTCTGTATCATCTGAAACCAAGACACAAGTACATGAAAGCATATGTCCCATTAAAGACAACTGACAAAGGTTTAGAGTTATCCTCTTAGATGTTCTCCCTCTTAGTTCTCCTTGCCATTCTGCCTTATCTTACTAGACTGCAAGTAAACAAAATCACTGAAATATGATAGATGAGAGATGCAGTGGGAAACAGAAGAGCTTACCTTCACAAACTGGAACTTTCCCAGTCCATGTACCATCAGACCTACAGGCTCTATGCTCTGATCCTCCTGCCAGGAAGAAGCCTGGCTGACAAGTGTAAATCAATGTATAACCAAGTGAGGGAAGATCCATTCCTGCAACATTAGCATGAGTTGGTGTTTCTGGTTGTTTACAGCTGTGAGCTACAAAGAAAAGATAAAATATCCTTCAGTCAAAATGGTGAAAATATTTCTGAAAAAATAATCTATACCTATTCTGACAGGTAACTAATGAAAAAAAATCAATAAATATAACATATTAATATATTTTAATTCATATTAAAAATTACTACATAGTCTATAAATTACTGTCCTGACCCTGTAAATACACTCTTAAAAATGGACCTTTCAATTTCAAGGGACCAAGAACGAACTTAAATGCACTTGCACGACCAAAATTAATTGTCTGCTTATGCAAACACAAACAGTGCACATCTTACCACAGTTAAAAGCAATCATGGCTTGTGACTTACATGACTTATGATATCTGTGTATCTTTGAGTAATAATAAATAAATGGGTCATTTAAAAAACACTATGAAAGGTCAAGGAGAAATTGTAGGTGAGGCAAGTTTTAAATATCAGGCAGAAAAATTAATTACCATTCCTAATCTCATGCAAAGTGTCTTATATCTTTAACAACCACCAGAATCTGAGAGTCTTGTGTTATCTCAAAACAGCATACCTCCAAGAGCAGACCTCACCTTTCAACACACTGAGCTACTGATTTGCTGTTTGCTTAGGTGGAATGCTAGCACCAACTGAAACACTAATGCTGTTTTCTTCTGTGGATATGCTCTCCATACACTGAAGTGATTCTATAAGGTCAGACCTTATAAGGTGAGACTATTTCCAGAAAAATACAGCTGGCTAGCTGAAAAACTAGAAAGATTAACCATGATGTTATACCTTCAGTTAATTAGCACTATTTACCAAAGTGTAAAAGATCTAAGGAATGAAATGTTACTTCCTGTACCCAAGTAAGAAGATTCTTTCCATTTCAGATTCAGAAATTTCCAATTACAAGCCTTTTTTTTCCCCTTTCTTAAAAAAACCCAACTCCTTAGTTGGGAAACAATTCAAACTCTTTAATAGAACTGATTGTAACTATCTGCTGCAGTAGAAGTTAGAGTTGTTCAGGGCTTTCCTACATATCCTGTTCTCACCACCTCCTCCCAACTCTTTCACTCTCTTCATTGGAAGGGTTGCACCCTCTTAGATAGAAACTTACTATTTTCAGCATCTCTGTATATGAAGAGCTGTCTGTTATTCTCATTATTTTGTCTTTTCTTTTTTTTTAATTCTATAGGCTATTGTAGAAATATTCACTCACAAAATCACATTTCTAGCTCCTGTAAGCTAGTAATTCAAATTTGTATTAACTTTAAGTTAATAAAACTACATAAATTAAGTTAACGTTATAACAATGTTGCTGTAACTAAATAACCTAGATAAAAAAATTGATAGATGAAAAATCTTTCATTTACTTACGTATACATTCTGGCTGGATTCCACTCCACGTAAGATCAGGAAGGCAAGTTCGTGTGGTTGAGCCATGCAGAAGGTGTCCTTTTTTACACTGAAATTGAACAACATTTCCCACCTGTTGAAAAGTAGAAAACACAGTAATATTGTTATGAGGAAATTTCAGTTGTTTGTTTGGGTTTTTTTTTTGAAATTTGATAGCAAACTCCTTCACATAATACAGGCTCGATAAATTGTGATGCTCTTTATGTAGAAAGTAAATTAATTTCACAGAGCATTTTGATATAAAATAAAAATTTGCTTCATTCTCATTAAAATTACTCTCCTCACAAACTGAAATCCTCCATGGAAGAGAGTCAAAACCTCGCCTTCTGTGATCTCTCTGGTGTGTTGCTTTGGGCCTGGAACAGTTGAGGCACTGTGAGTTTGGAAACCAAGCTTACTGTGGCTTTCTAGCTCTGTATCAAAGAGGAGCCAGTTAGGCAACCTTGAGGCAAACCAGAAAAGTCACAGATCTGAAATGGGTAATAGATTCTGCTGGACATTTGTTGAACTAGACACCCTTTGTGGAATGCTGGATGAATTCACAAATTATAATGAGAAATATTTCATTAGAACATGCAACGCCTGGTCAACAATACTGTCTCATGCTTCAGAAACTATAATGTTCCTGTAATATATTAATTTTGTTTTTTGATGACGAGGTAAAAAAGAATCATTCTTTGTACCATGCAGATAATAGAAACCAGAACGCAAGTACATTAAAATTTACAATGGCAATTCATCTGAGATTAGTTTTTAATTATTATTCTTATTACAGGTATGTGTTGCATAAAAAGGAAAATAGAATTCTTTAGTCAATAAGTTTCTGCATAAACATAACATGGAATAACTTGTTCAGCATATCCAGTCATGGCAACATTGAAGAAAATGCAAATAATTCTCAGTTTCCATCAAAAGCAGGGAAATTAGATTACAAGTATATCATTCAGACAGTAGTTTATTACATGCTGTGAGTGGTTAACTCAAATATTAAGGTGCATAGATCACATCTACTGTTCTGCAGTGACCTGTATTAATATATTTATCAACTCATGTTTAAACAAGAAGTTGAAAACTTTGAACTGCATGTGACAGCACATTTATGGTTCTGGTTTTGGGGGTTTTTTTCATTATTTTGTTTAATTGTATAACACGATTCAAATTGATGTTCAAAGGTAAGATAAGGACTCTTTCACAATAGTTTAGTCCTGGGAAACAGCATTTCACTGCTACAAGTAATAATTTGAAACTTTATAGTAGTATTCCATTTCAGCTCAAACTTCTCATCAGAATGGAATTTAATAATAACCCATGAACTACAGATAGTAGCTCATCAACACAGTATGTGATTTAAAATTAATCTCCCTATTTTTTCCCTCTTTACTGTGCTCACTGGACTATGTAATTACTTTTAAAAGATTTTGAAGAAAATACACTATATCACTTTCACGATTAAGCACAAATTGGGAAAATACTGAAAGTTTTAGAAGTTGCACCAAACAGAAGTACTTTTTTGTGTGGTAAAAAGCTTAGTTAAAACAACCCCCACTACCAATATTACTTTACAACAAGTACTAGTCTTATGAAAGATTTGTTCATTTCAGTAATCTGCCTCTATCAAAGCAATTTCCATTCACAACTATGGAAGGAACACCTGCCCTATTTAATCTTTAGCTATAAAGGAGGTCAATACTTTGGCATTGTGTTTAAAACCAGGACCCTTTCACCCTTTCTCACACACACAAAAAAAATCCAACTAAAACCAAACCTCAGCTTAACAGTCAAATGTAGTTTCTTAATATACTTAATATACTTCTGAATAGGAACTTAATTTTCTTTCCACTTTATTCTTTCAAAGTTGACTCTATGATCTTCCTGAATATAAAATATTTAAGAAAAAATATAATTGCTTTGTGATGTGGAGTAGCTGGACATCATGGCAGTCAATGAGGTAAAGAGGTTAATTGGTTACTTATAATCAGATATTTAATTCTAAACTGTAACTAAGTTAGACATTCAAACTCTAGTAGTCAATAGCAACTCCAGAAGCAGCTATGTTATGGCTTTAACTGCTTAGTTACACTACCTCACTTTTCAATTAACATTTTATGTGCTACATTCTCTTTTAAAAAACCAAAACAAAACGGTATCTTCTTTTCAGAGTTTGACAATTGTCATGATGCTATTATCTTTCATACATTAGCTCGACACCACTTAAATATGGGCAATACTGAATCAGATAACTGCAATCTTGAAATTTTCACCTACTTTTTAGTAGGATATTACCTAAAATAAATTTGTTATTGTGTAGAATCTCTTTAGAGAAATAAAAAGTCAATAGATCAAAAAATGAATTAAGTATATTCAGTAAAATTCAGTATATTGTAATTCTACTCATCAAGAATGGGCTGAACAGAAAGTTCATACTTTGTGAGTTGAAAGGGCTGGAAAATCATGTCTATAAAGGCTTTAGACCTACAGGACTCAATGACTAACAGTGAAAAAAGGAAGGAGGTGTGGTTTTTTCAATTTTCTGTGACTTCTCTCTCTTCTTAGCTGCCTATTCATGACTTTGGATTAGTTCTTTATGAACTGAGTCTTCTGCTGGACAGAAGACTCATACTGAAGGAAAACTGTTCACCTGAAGAGCAGAACGAAGAAATGCATAGAAATTTTTTCCACTGTCTGCCCATCTTCACTGCAGCTCTGACTACCTTATGGCTTCACTGAAGCTCGGTTGCCTAAACAGCAAACCAGTTCTTTAGTACTAGAAATATATGTGAGACAAGGAAATGACTCAAGTTGCCAAGTAAGTGGAAAGGTTGAGTTGCTAGCATTCCACAATCAAAAAAAAAACCCAAAACCAAAACCAAAACCAAAAAACCCAAAACCCCACAGCAAACAAACAAAACTCAAAACAAACCATTGTTGGTATTGCAACCAGTTTTTGCAAAAAAACCCAAACCAAAACCAAAAAACCCAAAACCCCACAGCAAACAAACAAAACTCAAAACTCAAAACTGTTGGTATTGCAACCAGTTTTTGCAATACCTACTTTTCTATCCAAAACAGTAACTACTAGTGAAACTGTTTTACTCCCAAAACCCCACAGCAAACAAACAAAACTCAAAACAAACCATTGTTGGTATTGCAACCAGTTTTTGCAATACCTACTTTTCTATCCAAAACAGTAACTACTAGTGAAACTGTTTTACTTATTTCCTCCAAAAAAACGGATGTCACCTGTATTATCCTTGCTAGGGAAACACAAGCTTTGTATACGTAAGCCCCAAAAGTAACATCAAAAATACAACAGTTGCTCAGGTGATGAAGACATTTTTAGAAGTGCTCCCATGCTATTCAAGATAATGAATAAATAAACAAAGGAATGAGGCTCCCTGCTCCTAAAAACAAAAAAAAAAAGCTTACAAGCAATACGTAATTATTAAAAATAAAAATATAAAAAGTTATTTAAAAATTACTTTGGGGAAGTCTATTTTGCAATATTCTTGTGCCAGAGGCACCAGGTGGCGCTACAATACAGCCTTCTGTCATCTTAAAAAATGCCCAGACTTCAGATGTTCCGATTTGTTCAAATTTTTTGTAACACAGTGTTGTGGTTTAACCTCAGTCGGCAACTCAGTACCACACAACCGCTTGCTCACTCCCCCCGCCCCCCCCGGTGGGATGGGGGAGAGAATTGGAAGAGTAGAAGTGAGAAAAAACTCGTGGGTTGAGATAAAAACAGTTTAATAACTGAAATAAAATGATAATAGCAATAATAATAATAATGTAATAACAACAACAATAATAATACACAAAGCAAGTGATGCACAGTGCAATTGCTCACCACCTGCCGA